TCTCCAATAATGACCATCCCCTTTCCTACAAGAGCACAAATCCTATGCATTATCAGAACTATTTCCTACTTTGGACTATGTAAAGACACTCTGCAGTTAAGGTCATCCATGGTGAGGAATAAGAATGTCACTTTATACAGATCACACATGGTAAAAGTCCAGTTTTCGGTTGACATGCGTTTCCCAGCATCTTAAAAGTCAAGAGTTTTCTGCAAAACAAGGATCTGTTTTGACTTCACATGGAAATCATTCGCCTCAACTCTGACTGACAGGGTGAGAGAGAAATCTACCACCACTTAATGGCCATTAATAAACGAACTACCATTTTGGGGGAGTAAATATAAAAATGGATGTTTTTAAAAAGTGGTTGCTCTGAAGAGCCTGCAGTCTAGTGGGGGGAAAGACAAACGATCGCAGTACAGGAGAGAACAGAGATCAGGCACAGGGAGGCCCAAGCTACCAGGCACAGAAGCTGACTGAGAGGAACAAGCCAAGACAGCAGGGAGCATCTCAGTGTGCAGGAGCCGTTCTGACCCTGCGAGCCACGCTTACCACAGTTACTAAAGAGATGTGTGCGGAATGATGCCTCCCGCTTACTTAGCTCGCCTCTTCCCGAACAGTAGCCAAGTCTGTTATCTCTGTCTTCGTAAGGATTTGTGACCAATCTGAAAAGTCTGTAGAATTCACCGTGAAAATGAAGAGAAGGCAGGGGAAGGTGACAGCGGGAAGGCATTCCGGTGGGAGTGGAAGTCCAGTTTAGCTGAAGCCCGGAAGGAGAGTAGTGGAGAAGAAGGCTGGTCACAGTTTGGCGTTAAAAGAGCAGGGTTGGGGAGAAGACCGCCCAGGTCTGAGGTACCAACCCTCTCACTAGCCATGCAGCTCAGCCTCAGGCGTCACAGGAACAGAAACCTCACGGGGTTGATGAATACGAAATGAATATGTGAGTGGTAACGTTAACGGAAGGAGGAGGGAAGGGAGAAGAGACGAGGGAAGAAAACAAGGAAAAAACTAAGGGCTGGAGGGCTGAAGAGGTGGTTCAGCACCCACGTGGTGGCTCCATCTGCATCTCCAGTTCCATGGGATCCAACATGCTCCTTGGGCCTCCCAGGACACCTACCTGCATTTGTGTGGTGCACAGGCACACATTTCTCCAGCCCCTGGATTGTTTGATTTTTTAAGCTGGGCCAAATCATTGAAAGATTTGAAGAATTTCACTCACTTAAATTAATATCGTTGGACTTAACGGCAGCTCAGTGATAGCCTTGCCTAGCATGCCCAAAGCCCCGCAAAAATTGTAGATGATTACATCTCCTATTCATCTCACCTGTATTCTTTCACTGAGTAGCAAAACTTATCGCTTTTGACGTCTCAGTAAGTATTTGTGACCAGTGGGCAGACATGCTTCCACAAGATCCCTGGCCACAAGAAGCAACGGCATTCTAACCACTGGGCTTGAGTTCCATACCTGAGATCAAAGCTGCTTGGCCTGAGGCAGGCAGTCTAGTACACTGGTTATTCTCCACTCCCATGGATGGAGGCTACCATGTGACTACCACAACATGATAGCCACTACTTCCTGGTGCCAAAGGGCTAAGAGAGTGATGCAAGCTGTCTTTGCATTCTCTGTCCTTAACCTGTCCTCAAAACCTCAGCAGAGAAGACTCTACGGGGCTTGCAGAAAGTGTGGCACCTAGACACCAAGATTACTCTCCTCCGTAGGGCTGCACGAGAGATATGAAACATGTGATAGACCGTGGACAGCCAAGAGATTGTTCCTACGTTAATGTATACAAAAGGCAGTTCCTATGTGCAGGCTATTTTGCTGTGTACACACTAATACTGATCATAATAACGCTAATGATAACAGCCCACAAACACCAACAGCATCGTTCACTGTATACAACCTGCTAAGTATACCATGCACATGACCACATATGAGCCTCATCGCCATCCTCTGGGTACCGACTGTCGTTCTCACTTTAGGGGTAAAGAGAAAAAGACCGTGTCAGACAGAGTGCTTGTAGCAGATGCAAGATCCAGTCGACTTCGTGGTCCACGCAGTAAACATAGGAACTGCACTCCGCACACACGGCATCATCCGGGGGCTCTCAAAATATGAAACCTTTAAGGCTAGAGGCTCAGGCACATAATCCCAGTACCCAAGAGGCAGGAGGAGGAAGTCTGGCCCAAATTCAAGGCCAGCCTGGTCTATATTGCAGGTTCCAGGCCAGCCACGGTTACCTATCAAGATCCTGTCACAAACAAAACAAAACAGAGCGTACAGCCCTCACTCTACACTCACAGAATTAGGCCTTTGTAAGCTTCTAGCCACACACGGCTCAGGACTAGGCTACTCCACATTAACACGCTAGCAGATAATACTACTGCTTAACTAACTGAAGGGATTCTCAGAGTTTTTATTATTCAAAAGTATACATGAGTCAGAGTTGGTGATCTCAACCTGACTCTAATTCCCACGGGGTGAAGAGCGACTACATTTGTTAGGGCTGGGCAGTACTACGAGGCTCCATGAGGAAGTCCTTTGTCCCAGAGAAGTGAAACCAGGAGCGTTTCTCAACGGAAGCAGGGACAGTGGGACAGAATAGGAATATGCCTATTAATCTTTCCATGGCAAGCACATAGAAAATGATAAATAACTGCTAAGGGGACAAACCAGTGATGGACTGAGCCTCACCAGCTGGAAGTAATTCCCACTCCTTGAAGTCCTTTAGTATTTCTTCGGTACCCTTTCCCACCTGACCACATTTGCCTTGCAGTCAAGCTGTTTCAAAACAAGCTTGTCTATACTGATGATGGGAAGCATCCGGGTGCAAGCCCCTCCGTGCTAAGTTCCACCAACAGAGCATGAGTAAATCTTCCAGCAGAGACTCTCAGTGCCCAAAGAGCAGCCAGCTTAATTCCAACTGCGACCTAATTGGCATCCATGGGGCCTGTGGTCTAACTACGTGGGTTGCTGGAAACCGGCTGCAGAGGGCCCTCTGTATGGAAATCATTAGAGATCTAGTAGACTCCATTGGAGGACAGGCCCCTGGAAGGCCACAGCTCTGGGAGATAGACTGCCAGGTTCTTAGAAACGAAGGGGTTACAGCAACAGATAAAAATGTTCTCATGTAGTGCACATCTTTAAAATCACAACTATGGTTAGGAGCACACTTAGACAGTCGAGATAGTGACAAAAACATAGTAACACAACCATCCGTGAAAGCCGGCTCACGGCTGGCCAGAGCACCTTGACAAAGTCAACTCAGAAGACACAGGGACGTCTCCTTCTCTTCACCACCAACCCTCCTGCAGTTTTATCCTGTGTCTTGGTGTGACGTGGTGCACAGTGGCTGAGGTACCCTGTGTCAAACTGCTTCCTGCTGTTTCATACCCGTTATCCTACTATATCCCCTACTATATCCTCACGCCCTGTAACTGAACAACTGTCGGGATTATCAACCCATTCATTTTTGAATGAGGCTCCAGTCACATGGCAAATCTAAGGGCATTAGGAAGTGTAGCTAAAGACACAGCAGAAAAACGTATGAAATGAAGAAATGAGAAGATGCCAATCCTTTCAGCTGGAAAGCACTTCAATCTCCCTAAATGTCCCAGAGTTTCATCTCACCTTGCTGCAAATCTCTGTGATCTCCATCACATAACCTGAAAGAGCCCCGGCTCTAACTGCGGTCTCTCCGGCGATGCCGCGAGGGCAGGGTTTGGGTCAGGACCAGGGAAGACGCTGGTGTGGCTGAGCTGTTCCAAGCACGTTTGCAAAGCCTTGCCTGCCACTTCAGCCCACAATGGTGGCTCACAGATGACTGTATGGCTATACGATGCAACACCCCTGTCTCTGAGAGACTCGACCTTGTGAATGACAACTGGCCGGTAACTCGGCTAGCGGGCAGCGTCCTGAGTACTGTAAGACACAGGGTGCTAAGAGTTTACGCAAATTTTCCCTTTAAGAAGTCAAAAGGTGAGCTACAAACTAAAACAGAAAATGTCTTTAAGTTATTTAACCATTATTGAAATAAGCATTTTTGAGGAGGCAAAAATCTATCAATGACTCCAAATGAAATTGCAGTATTCAAACTGTATGGAAAGTGTTAAAAGAAAACCTACTCCGGCTGCACACGTGTCCAAGGTCCCTGTGGGTCCCCCGAGGCTACCTGCAGCCCAGCACAGGAACTGGAGAGAGAGAGGTGAAGGGCAAGAAAGAAAGAGCCAAGACAGACGAGCAGTTTTCAAAGAAAGCCCAAACCTGTTCACTCCAGAGAGCCCGAGGGGCTGGGAGCCCAGAGCCCAAGGGTGAATATTCCTTGGAGATTAAGCAGGACCTAGCCAAGCCAGGTTCCACATAGACACACCTTTTGTTAATCTGAGTTCAAAGTCTAGCCACCAACTGAGGATCTGGGTCATCCCTATTGGATGTCCCTTACACTAGCAAGTTTAACAGTTCTTTCTTTTAAAAGGAAATCATGCCAAAGTAGGGGGTGCGAGACTGAAGGGAAGCTGCCGGAGACTTGGGGAGAGGCCCCGGGCGCAAAGCCCTGACCCGAGCTGGCCGCGCTTCCAGGAGCAGACACGGGCACCTAAGGGCACGCACAGACTCGGGGGATCCTGCTGCCTGGGAGCTCTGAAGGGGAAGCCAAGTTCTGGGATCCACACGCTCCAAAGTCACCCGCCCTCGGCGGAGCTTGGGGCTGCAGAGGCGGCGCGGGGGCATCGCGGGGAGACTGCGGGGAGATCCGATCCGGATCGCGGGCGGCACCCCCGCCCCCCGGTCCGTGCAGCCCTGCAGCGCTCAGCGGGGAGCGCGGCTTCCAGAGCCCCGGGGCGGCCGCCGCCCCTCCCGCCCCCGCGGGCGGTCCCGCGGGCCCGAGCGGGGGATCGCGCCCCTCCGCGCCGGGGGACGCGGCCGCGACATCCCACCCGGCCGCCCCCCTCCCCAACTCGGTGGACCCCCGGGCCTGCATGGCAGGGCGCGGCTCCCTTACCGCGCGGCGGCTCCGGGCGGCTCCTCGGCCCCGCGGCGCGCGGGGCATTTTTTTCTGGAAAACTTCTCTCTGGGTCGGCCGGGCTGAGCCGGGGCGGGCAGGAAAAGCGCTCCGCGCCGGGAGGCTGCGACCATCCGGGAACTTCGCCGAGATGTGAGCCCTCCCCCTCGGCCCGCGTCCTCCCCCTACGGCCCCCGCCACACGCGGACGCCCAGGCCGCCGCTGGCCCTTCGCCCTTCGCCCTCGCCGCGCCCTGCCCGCCGTGCCCGGCGACACCGCAGCCCGGGCTGGGCTCGCCCCGGGGCGGTGGCCGAGGGACCCGGACCGCCGCCGTGCGTCCAGCAGCCCGACCTGGAAGGGGGATCCAACCGAGGGCGCTGTCCCCGGAGACCTCCCCGGCCTCCGGGTGGGGTCCTCTCCTCCCACCACTGGGAAAGCCTTTCCCCGTCATCTCTCAGCTCCCAAACCAGAGGGCCTCGCCTTGAGAAACTTAAAAGTTCCGATTCACTTAAAAGTTGGATTTTAAAAATGGAGTGGAGCCCACTGAAGGCCACGAGCATCCCGTTCCCCACCGATTGGGAGCGCACTGCTCTTCCCATAGAAAGATGCTAATCGGTTGGGATTCTTGGAGTCATTTGTTTGTTTGTTTGTTTGTTTTTCCCACCTACATCTGAAAACATGGAAAGACTAAGGGCAACTGTAAAGAGGAAACCGAAGCCCTTCCACATGACTCTCGCCAGTTGGCAAAACCACCACCACCATCAGGCCTCAAAGTTAACACGGGGATGACACATTAGAAGATGCACATTTGAAAAGACAAAGACAAATTATGGTCAGTATAACAGTACAATATAAGAACCGTATTGTTACCAAGACGATGTAGCTCTCTAAGGAAAGGCAGTAAAGCTTCGAGAAGGCGCACTTCAGAATTCGGCATCTAGGATGCGGAGCCCTTGGCTTCAGGGTTTCCGTGCTGCCCTGTTCCCGTGGGTGCATTCAGTCTTGACATGCTTCTGGCAGATGCGATAATCCCAGAAAGACAGTGTCATGGGCCAACTCTCCTAATCTCCTATTGGCTTGTTTGGTAGGGGTCCCTAAATGCACTCACCTCTTTTTGTTGTTTTGTTGTTGTTTTTAGGTCTCATCATGAATTCCAGGCTGGGTACAAACTTCCGCAGTTATCTGTATTCATCTAAGGTTCATTCTACATTTGCCTTTTATTTATGTATTTATTAGTGTGTATAAGTGTTTTGCCCACAAATACGTCTGTGCATCATGTGCATGCCTGGTGCCACGGAGGCCATACGGAGGTGTGGGATCCCCGAGAATGGAGTTATAGGCTGTTGGGAGCCTCGGAGTACATGCTGGGAATCCAACTAGGGTCCTCTGTAAGAGCAGCAAGTGCTGTTAACCGCTGAGCTATTCTTCAGTTCTGGCCACCTTTTTTGTGTGTGTGTGGTTTTTTTTTTTTTTTTTTTTTTTTGGTTTTTTTGAGACAGGGTTTCTCTGTGTAGCTTTGCGCCTTTCCTGGAACTCACTCTGTAGCCCAGGCTGGCCTCGAACTCACAGAGATCTGCCCGCCTCTGCCTCCCGAGTGCTGGGATTAAAGGCGTGCACCACCACCACCTGGCTCTCGCCACCATTCTTGACGTTGAGTTTGGATCTTTTCCTGTGTTAGAAGTATGTGGTGAATATTCTCTCTTGTTGCCAGCCACACAGGGAATCCATAAGGAGGGTAAACAATACTCGGCCGTGTGCTGTCGCTAAGCAATGGTAGTGACTAGGTAGGCTTATTAAGTCGTGGTACTTAATATAGTAAGTAGATGGCAGTCTCAAATGCCAGACAAGGGAGCTCACCTGCCTCACTGAATTCTCACAGGAACCTTGTGAAGTAGGCATCTGCCTCTATTTTACACACAAGAACAGTACCTCAGGAAACTTGGCTAACCTGCCCAAGATCTCTCAGCATGTGAACTTCTAAATCCAGGTTATTATGACACTGATTCCTTTGCTTCGACCACCATGTCGTAAGTCTCTTGTCTTCCTCTGTTCTACCTCTGAGCTGCTGTTAGCACGAATGACCTGAAGTGAGATTCCTTAATGCCAAGCGACAAAAGAAAAGCATATTGTTACATGCATTAGTAAACAATTGTTGGTGTCCAAACAGATCTGGTTAAAGGCTGTGTGCGAGCTCAGGTGTAGCTGGAAGTTTCTCCTGTCCTGCCCGGCCCCACCATCAGGAAGAATCTCTCCCACCTGACTCTGTAGCTTGGTCCCAAGTAAATACACAGAGGCTTATAGTATTTGTAAACTGTATGGCCTTGGGACCAGGCTTCTTGTTAGCATGCTCTTATGACTTAACTCAATCCATTTCTATTAATCTGTATGTTGCCACAAGGCCGTGGTGTTATCAGTCGGCTGGCATCTTGTTGCTCCTTGGGGGGTGGCTGGCGCATCTCCCCCGACCCCACCCTTCTTCATCTTGTCTTTAGTTTGAATGTACCGCTTAACCTTATCCTGCCCTGCCATAGGCCAGTGCAGCTTTATTTATCAACCAATCAGAGCACCACATATTCACAGTGTACAGAAAGACATCCCACTGCACTCTGGTTCTGTCTTCTGGGTCATTCAGGAAGGATGTGGAACAGAAGGTAAACTGAGCACCGCTATGGCCAGGGGATGTGCAGAGGACCAGGATGTGGTGGGCAGGACCGTGTCTGCAGGCTTCTTGGCACCACATGAGTGCTCAGCATATTTGATAGATATATCCAAAACTCAGGACTGTGCTCCTGAGAGCTGATTATTTTACTCACCGACACTACACCTTATTCCCCCCTGCAAAAAAAAGACCTTAAGACAGAGTTGAATATGGTGATATTTAAACCTCTAGGATAGCAAATTCAGCAAATATTTTCACTCTATCTTTTTCTTTCTTTCCTAAAAATATGTGCTTATTTTAAACAATTTGGACAGTTGATAAACATAAAACACAGAAAGTGAAAGTCACTTACAACCCTATCTAGAAATAACTATTTGTGATTTTCCATGTTTTTCCTGTGAACTTTTACTACTTTTTAAATCAGCAAACAGGCATGAAGGTGTAACTCAGTGGTGGAGTGCTTGTCTAGGATACATAAGATCCTGAGCTTGATTCCTCACCTACACACACACACACACACACACACACACACACACACACACACACACACAAGCATATACACAAACATGCACTCACTCAATAAATATTTATTGAAAGCCAGGTGAATGGGATCGTGCTGTATGATTCCTGGTGAATTAATCTATTGTATTGGTTTTCTGCTTCTATGTGAAATTATCATAAATTTTCAGCTTAAAGCCACATCCAGTTATCATTCAGGGCTTTCAGTAGTCTGAACATGGTGTGACTGGGATCTCTGTTCAAAGGCTGAGTTCCTGACTAGAGGTGCTGGAGAGGAGATCTACCTCCAGGTCCACTCGGTCACTGGCAGAGTTAAGTTCCCTGCTGAGATCCAGCTGAGGCACCTGTGTCCTCCCTACCTGTCAGCTTCAAAGTTGCCGTTTGCACTCAGAAGCCAGCACAGTCTTTGCCACGTGGCTGATCTTCGTCTTCACAGCCAGGAACAGAGACCCTCCTTGGGCAAACTCTACATTTCTGGCATGTTTGCCAGGATAAGCCTACCCATTTAAGCCCACTGAAGGTGATCCCCTGTCTTAAACTCCATGCTAATTACGTGTATGAAATCCCTTCATAGCAGCATCCAGATTAGGGCTGCTTTGAACAGTGGAAATGTTATGGATGGAAATCTCACAGGTATGAACGTGTACCTTTCCATTCCTCTAAGTCTCAACAAATCTGCTTCATTATTTTTATTAAAGCTACATGTTTTTTGCTGTATTATATACCACAATCCAGCCAAGTGCCCTAGAAGTGGACATTTATATTGCTTTTAGTTGGTTTCTTGTTTCATACACAACAACCACTCATAATCTTAAGTGCTCATATACCTGTGAAGTTTTCTAACTAGTAACCTAATGTATAGAAATTAATACCATAACATAGAAACAGCTTCGCCAGACAAGTGGAATACCAATTTGGAAAGATCTGTACCTTCTTTTTTTTTTTTCAAATATTTTTAGCACATTTTATTTACTTATTTGTTAGTGTGAAAGGAGGGTGTGCATGCCATGTGACCCGCATGTGGAGGTCAGAAGACAATCTGCAGGAGTTGCTGCTCTCCTTCTGTGATGTGGGTCCCGGGGACTGAACTCAGCTTGTCAGCCTTGGTGGCAAGCATCTTCACCTGAGCCATCTGGCTGGTAAAGATGTGTACCTTTTGGTAGATTCTGATGCTAGCCTTGTTAGTCAGCTTGTTCAAACCGAGAGGTGTGTAAGTGACTAGTAGAGCACACTTCCGGGTGTGTCCGTGACGACATTTTCCAAGATTGTTCCATCACAGCAGCAGAGGTGAAATTAGAACAGAAATGAAGAAGGAAGACTGAAGGGCTAGAGAGACGACGGTTCAGTAGGAAGGAGCATTTGCTATTCTTCCAGAGGACCCATAGACAAAACCCAGCACCAACGTGGTAGCTCACAGCTATCTGTAACTCCAGTCTCGGGGCCTCCTGGTACACTGCAGACATGCATACAAAATACCATACCCATAAAATAAAAATAAATAAATCTGTAGAAATAAGACTGAAAAGCTTGTAGTTTGCTCAGAAACGGGGCACACTTTTTAAGTTGTGGGTAGGCGGGGCACGGCTGTCCAAGAGATTAGAACAACTAAGAGGAAGCCATGGACCTTGAACCAGTATAAAAGGTGCTGTGTCCTGCACAGGTTGCACCTGGAAACCTGACTGGGGCGGCAGGAGACTGAAGAACGAACAGACATACAGACACCCATACAGACATACAGACACATACGGGAAAGCTGGGATAGGGTGGGTTGTGCATACTCTGATGGAGCCACACCAACCAGGCAACAACTGCCTGGGGCCTCAGCAGGTTTATGATAGGAGACACAGTAGGAGGAGTTAGCCAGTCGGGGAGGAGTCTCCGTAGGGGAGGAGTCTCCGTAGGGGAGGAGTCTCCGTAGGGGAGGAGTCTCCGTAGGGGAGGAGTCTCCGTAGGGG